ATTTTGAAATAACCATAATTTAGACACCGTTACTTGCACTCGAAAGTTAAAATTTATTTATTGAAGATGGCCAAAACATTGTTGGGATGACACTTTTTGTATTTTATTGATGAGAAAAAAGGTTTTATTCATTCCTTATACGTAAGCGGGTTATTAGGTTGCGTTTTCTAAAAAGTTATACAAAATAAAAAAGGACGTCATGACAAGTATGATGTCACTTATTGTCTGTAGTTTACGCGAGGAGTATACATTTAAATAAAACATATTAAACGTTTTAAAACGAGAAATGAATTAGACAACTCATTTACAATTTATTTTTACTACGGCATGGCGTTTCGAATGCTTTGCAGTGGTCACAGAATACCAAACGGAACGTAGTTAAAATAAATTGTAAATTAAGTTAAATCATATATTTCCCATTTTAAACCGTTAAAAGTATTATGTATTTTTTCGATTAGATAATATTATTATCTAAAATACATTTATCAAGTAACCGCCTCTGTAGCTTAATTGTAAAACGCGGTATCAGCATTGCAGGATGTCTTAAATTTTAATTTTTGCGAAACATCATCGTTTAGTGAAACAGATACAAAAATGTGTTTGCCCCATGCCCCCTCGTACCATTGAGTTACGGAAGAAGAGTCGATATAATCAAGCAAGAGTTAATAAAGTAATATCTACTGTAGTTCACGTGAGTGGTACACATTTAACGGTTCGAAACACGTGTCATACAACTCTCGACTATTGCAAAGCCTCCAAAATGTTGTTTCGTTGTTAGATGTTTATTACGATAAATCGCGCTTTAAACCGCGGTTTAAAAGTTGGGTGAAGAAAAATAAACGTAAATGGTTTCATTTGAGTAACTTCAAGTGAAATGTTGCGCAAAAGTGTCTTAATACACATTCTACTTTCTACATCAGCAGGATAATACTCGAAAGTCTTAGGTAATTTAACTTATGTCCATTAACAATTTATTTCTAACCGACTGCGTACGTCCGTGGTTTATTTCTAACCGAAAAAAATGGAGCTACTAATATAGTGGCGTTTTTGTTTTAAAAATTAGTTTTACTCGTAACCCAAATGTAAAAAAGTCTAACAATACCTATGCTACAATAAAATAAAATAAACAAATACTGTTTATAGTTTACGCGAGTAGTACAAATTTAAATAAAACACTCTAACGGTAAAACTTATTGAAAATGATTTTTAACTTCGGCCCGACGTTTCGGATGCTTTGCAGCAGCCGTGGTCACGGGGAGACACCCCCCGCGTCTTGTCGTGGTCTCCCCGTGACCACGGCTGCTGCAAAGCGTCAGGCGAACAAGTCAGGCGGTTTAGACGTGAGTAAAAAACATTCATACATATTATTGTTATATAATTTTGTAGAAACTATATAAAATACTAGGTGACCTGGCAAACATTATTTTGTCATATGAAATATTTCGACGAAATATTTTGATTACCATAAAAACTTGCAAGTATTAAAAGATTATGGTGAGAAGAGATTAAGATTATTAAAAGATAAACACAATATATCGTCACATGTTTTTAGATTATAATAAAAAGAATAGCTCTTTCGTATATATTTTTTGGGTATATTGAACCGTTTTTTCCACATTTCCCGCTATTTCTTCGCTTCTACTGCTCGTAGCCAGATGTTATACGTAAAGCCGAAAAGCTTAATTGTTTAAATGGTACAGTCAACATAAAACGATTTTTTTATTCGAACCAGTAGATCCTGAGATTGGAGCGTAGTATAAATTATATTAATATGAATAACAAAAGACGGAAGAAATTCTCATACCATTCGCACTCGGTAGATTGTTTACAACTACGTTAGCGATTTTTTGCGAACTTTTAACATCAATGAATCAAAACCTTGTGAATGTTAAATAATACTCGATTATGCTAATTAGTGCGAGAACGAGTCCTTGGGCAGTAGAGAAAGCTGGTTTTATTTCAAAAATTTAGCACGCGACCGGATTTGAACCTGTAAGTGACTAGAAATAGATTAATATTCATTGAGATAAAGAGACCAGATAAAGAAACTAAGGGACGGAAATTGGTAGCTATTATAAAAAAACCTTAAAATATGATGATCGGTGTCGTCAGCTCTGTGGGGCATTGGGCCAACATAACGAAACCTGAATGTGATGTTGTATTATACTATTTGTAATTCTGTTAAATTTTATTTATTAATAGTGTAGTATATAATATAGTATTAACATCCATAAATGACGTTTTCCAATTCCTCCTCTTGTGATTCTCTAAATTCTCTTCAGTATCGATCACTGATGCTCACTGAGTCCCGGATCGTATGCACTTGACGACTGCCACGTCGAGTGTTTGTCGTTTGATCCACTTCAAGCACTCTGAGTATTTGTTTCTGCGATTCTTTGAAAGGATTGAGGCATTTACTATTTCCCAAAGGATAGAGAGGGAAAAGGAGCATTTCGTTTTTGTATAATATCAGTCATGCAGATAAAGATGCTGTCACAGATTTAAAACTTTGGTTAAGATTGAAGACAAATGCTTTGCTGAGCAACAGCACAGAAATCTTTAATAGTTCGAGTTATTGTCTTGACTTTGTAATATGGACTAATTAAAAATTTTATTTTGTCGAAACAAAGTTTTGGCAAAATTTTCAAAAAAAAAAAGTTAACTAATATGTTTCGCGTTATAAACCGTTAAAAGTGTTTAAATGAAAAACTAATTATCCTCAAATATTTTTGAACACATTGCGGGACATCACAAGGTATAAATACTTTGGAACCTTTTATTTCTTGTACCTAAATAGCCTTAGTGAGTATCTGTCAAGAAGGCGTTGAAAATATTAATAATACATATTATATTATAATTATTTTGTAGAAACTGAACCCACGTAAATAAATAAATTCCATTTAAGCGCGAGCTACAGAAGGTTCTCGAAGTACCGGACGCTGCATGAAAAAGTCGTTACAGACGTAATTGGAAATCTCCTTTGACACGAGTAAAGGGTTCCCAGTTCTAGAAAACCATTACGATCCAGTTAATCCCACAGTAATTAGCTCCAATCGACACATTTAACAAGATCTGTGTTAGAAAGTACATCAAAGTGCCGCGTCGACCGTTTATTACGAAGATTGTGGTTAGGGACGAGCTACATCTCTTCGTAATTAAACTATGCTCGAGTTGTATCGCCTGTGTGTTTTACAAATTTGCTTTTATATTCCTGGTTAGTTTAAAAAAAACATAGCATTTTTTACATAATTAATAAAACATATCTTTTAGGTTTAATGGAAAAAGTCAAACTTTCGTAAAGGGTCCGAGTTCAAGCAGATAATTCTTTAAAGGTTTTTTTTATTCATTGACAAATGAAATAATGTTGAAACTGTAAGATATTATAAAGGAAGGCAATATTTTTGAAGAAAATGCAAAATTGTTCGTAAAGTATCACAAAAAGAAACTGTTTAAAGATAATAATACGCAAAATAAATTGAAATGTAATGAATTACATTCAATTTATTTGCGTCCCCACATGCGACGATTCACAAATCATGACAAATATTTGTATTTAATGAGCTTATTGTATTTTAATGTTTTAAAAGTACATATAGTCCTTTATCGAAAAGGCTTTTATAGATTCTCAATATGAAGGAATGCATTTATAAAATTCACATATAAAGAATGTAGCTTGGCTATGGGTTAATAAATCAGAAATGTGTCGAAAAGTGCGAGCGAAGCAGAAAATCGGAGTATTACACGGGACACTGGATTTGCCGAGAAAACTATAAAGTATAGCGTGTCAGAAGTTGAGAAGTAAACGGATTTTTAACGACTTCACCGGTGAAATGTGGATTTCGCTTATTCAAAGCGTATGAATTTGATAGAGCTTGCACGTTGAAAATAATTATAAAGATCTGTATAGCGTGTGAAGGATAACAAAATTCTATGACTGTTTTAATATCCAGAGCCAAAACAGGTCGACAACGCAGCTTGTTAAGATATTATATGCCTGGAATATTTTACAGGTAAACCCCATGCTTGTCTGTACTGCTATGAACCTATATCATAAAATCACAGTTTTCTTATATGAATGTTCAAAGATGCGATAAAGTACACAATAGAAGATCAAAACCAATTTTATGCAATAAAAAATGATTTATTGAACAATGAATCTAAAAAGGGAGGGATATTAATACTTTCGGATGATATATTTTAAATATCTGACTAACAACATATTGAGAAGGCACCTTTGCTTATAAATAATAAGAAAAATATTGCCAGCGTAGTCAAAAATCGGGAGCGCGCAAACGCGTTTTTAAAAAGTAGAAAAATTATTATTTTATGTGTATTCGAGTGAATGATTTGCTTAAGCCTAAAGTACATTGGGACTACGAAGAGGTATCCGGTCGATAACATATTCCTCGAACTGCATATCAGTCCTTAGGAAAGATATTGTGCTGCAGTGGCAAGTCTCGCCGCATAACTGCGTTGTCCCTCAATGTGTTTCAAATATTTGAGATAATTAGTTTGCAGACATAACCGCGCCGAAAAAATGGTAGATAAGTTTCGCATTTTAAACCGTTAGAAACTGTTGATTTTAGGGACAGCCTCCCTTTTAGAGCGGCTGCTGCAAACTTAATACACATTAGTTTTGTTACTGCGTAAGAACACGGTTTAATAAAGCCGTTAATAGGAGTTTATTTAATTGTTTACTACTTGTGTAAACTTGTCATCACTTTATCGGCTATTATATGCCGGTGTGTGTTACGAAAAAAACTGCCAATATTTGGCAATGCGACATATAACTTCGCTCTAAAGCAAATGGAACTTGGCACTCGTTTAGTTCTCAATGCTTTTAACGGCGAAACCGATAATCTAGCTCTTTATTTGTCGAGAACTTTTATACTTTGAGCGTTGTATTTATTTTGGCGATCACTTCAGTTTATAAGAAGTATTAACTGTGCAAATCTAGAGTAATACAAACAAATAAGAAATTCAATTAAAACTGAAGCATTATGTTTGAAGGGGGCAATGAAACGGAGTTAACATTATTAGGTTGAATAGATTTTTTGGGTATCTTGAATCGTTTTCGCAACGTACGCAACGGAAGCCCACAAAGTTGAAAAAAATCCCCATTTCTCTTCATTTACCGTGGTTTCTAGTTGGGAAACGGTTTTATAGCCTTTCTCAATAAATGCCCTAACCAACATATTTTTTTTTAATGACTACCGGTAGTAAAAATTATATAGGTAACGTAGCAGATCATATTCTTCTTCCTTCTTCATCAGCAAAAATCTTTATGCAAATCCAATTACGTAAGAATGTGTATAGTCCCCGAACCGGTCCGTATCGCCGTCTAGTCCTGTATGGTCCGGCCACATACCATACAGGTTGCAGTGTTCACCCCGTGGTATACTTAGTTCGGATTAACTGTACAGCCAATTAACAAGAAAATGCCTTTGTCTTGCTTAGCCAAGTCAAGTTAACGAACTACAACAGACGCGATATGTTAAAGCACTAAGATGTACATAATACCTGGTTAAAAAGACAATTGTTGAAATTAATAGAGTTAGCTTGTAAGGTCATCAGGATCAGTAGAAATAGTGGGCTGGATATTCTCCTATTAAAATAATACAATGTTAACAGTTTGAAACGTGAAATTTATTATTTGAACTTATTTTAAAGACGGTTCGGTGGTATAGTCGAGGGGGGGACGATAATATCTCCTTTGTAGTTTATTTATTCTATACGATTCAGCCGTTCAGTGTCCACTGCTGGACATAGGCCTCCCCCATAGACTTCCAGCACGACCGGTCGTTCGCTAGTTGAATCCAGCGTTTCCCTGCCAGTTGGACCAACGACCTGGTCAAGGTAGACCAGGTCGTTGGTCCAACTGGTAGGACGTCGTCCAGGTTTTCGACGTCCGGTACGTGGTCTCCACTCCAGAACCTTTTTGCCCCAACGGCCATCAGTTCTACGAGCGATGTGCTGCCCACTGCCCATTTGGGTCTTAGAGGCACACTCTAAGACCCAAAGAGGACCTTTCAAAGATTTAATATTGGGTGCAACCTTATTGATAAATAACAGTGATAGAAGAAAAGCAAAAAGAAATGAAAACTTCCGATACAGCAGTGAAAGTGCGGTACAATAATCGCACGATTTTATCCACTTGTCACGCTTTGCAGATTATATTGTGTAATAGATGTAATGGCATAGATATATATTGATTTTTTCGTACGTACCATTTTTATATACTTTTTTCTTTGTTTAAATTAATCTATGTTGTTCTGTATTTAAATAAATGTTAATAATATTACTTTTACTTTATTATTATTATTACTTTAAATTAAGAATATAGAACGAACCCATTTTTAATAATCTAATACAATTTGGCCTTATCAGTTGTCTGAAAGAGATCGTTCATAGCACACCAGAATTGTTCAGTTGTAAAAATTTGTTTAGGTATGTGTTTTGTGCGGAAAAGTATTCAGTAAATAAAAATTATTACAAAAACTTAACCAAAAAGATAATTAGCCTTTATACTACTCGTGAGTCTTATATTCAAACCATAGGAAAAACATCGACATTTTTTTAGCTTGGTATAGCTACGGAAGGCTGCTCTCTTGGGCTGCAGGCGTAAAAGTGAAACTGAAATATCAGTTTATCCTTTGCCCCAGTATATAAGTGAAATGCTGTTTCTCTCCGTGGGGCAAGGGGCAAACACAATCTGTGTCCGTTTCACTCATCGAATCGTATACAAATGCCGGACAAATATATAGATGCCGGACTTAAACAATCTATTGTTTCCTTGGGATTCGAACCTAGGACCTCTAGCGCTTAACGCAATGCAACACGTTTAACCATTTAGCTACAAAGACGGTGCCCCAGTTATACGGGCCTCTAAATTAACATTACATTCCATTACAATTGAAAACAGTTGAATCCAATATCTATAAAAAGTCGACAATAGCTAACTCGGACAATCAGTTTTGTAAAAAAACGTAAACTTTGTCCGCGTGATAAAAGTTTGGAGTGAAAGTGAAAAAGTTGGAACACAAAGTTATACTTGAACTACAGCATCTGGCTTGTCAATATTGGTACATAAAGGTAGATTACAGTGTATTAACCGACTGAACAAACGAGGTTGATTTTTAATTGTTTGATTAATAAAGGAGAATTGAACCCAAATTTTTCACCGTTCTTTTAAAAAATTTTTTGTTTGGGGCCCCCCCTTTGGGGGGGGGGCCGTACATTATAAAATTTCTGAAGAGTGAAGAAGAAATGATCTCAGTGCGCCCGTTAGAAAGATATAATTAAGGAAATGCAGTTTCTCGAGGATAAGATAAACGTAAACGAGTTTTTGAAAGTTAACATTTTAACCTAGGGAAAACCCTGAGTCATGGGGTGTTGTACATTTGACCTGGATTAACAATAACTAACATATAAAATCCTGTATAACTAAACGTGGTGCCTAGTAATATGTTAAGTGCGAGAAGTCCTGGGTTCGAATCCCTAAAACAAGGGATGGTCGGTTCAATCGAGCAGGGCTGAAAAACCTGATCGACTACTTATCTGTAAATAAAACTGATACGTGAGACAGACACATAAATATGGCCCCATAGCCATCGGGGGAAACGGGATTACACTTTAACGTATTTAATTATCTACTCATTAAAAAGTACTAGATTCGATTTTTAGAACCCGTTGGGAATCCCCTTTTTTTTTATTTTTTTTTTCTTTGGGAAATTTTTCCCCGGGCCGGGGGGGGGACCCCCCCCCCCTTGGGGGTTGTTTTTTCCCCCCCCCCCCCCCCAACACCTCAACGCCATCACTCTTGCATTACTTAACTTATTGCATTTTTTATATACCTATCCGTGTCAACTTTTATAATTTTATTGTTCTTTTGTTTCTCTTTCCTCTATACGAAGGTTGCTTGGAAGAAATCGCCCTAGGTACCGCCTTGGATAATATTTCGTAATATATTTCTTTATGCAATAAAGAGTAGACAAGCATAATTTTTGAAATGGTTTCTGTTGTAATTTAAGCAAGACTCAAATAATTAAAAAAAATTGTAGAATTAAAAAGCTAAAACCGTTTAAGTGAAAACATTTATATTACTGTAAAATACGCCTTCAAGATAAATAGAAGCGCACTTTCACATTTAATAAGGATTATCATAGCTTGTAATCGCCTCACCGATGATCTGCAAAAACGCGTGCTTACTCATTCTTTGTAATTATATTGTAATGTTTTTGTAAGTCTGTGAAATCAAGTATGACTCGTGACAAAAAATACACTCTAGCGTCTGTTGAGCTCTAAGAGATATTTTCATTTATTTATTTATAATCATCAAAAACGTCGGGTCGTAGCTAAAAATCAATTAAATAATTTCGTGATTCAAATGCGCGGTTAATACGCAAAATATCTTAGTTGAACGGCCCGACGTTTCCGATGCTTTGCGGCAGCCGTCGTCACGGCTTTGTTCAACGGATATATTTCGCGTTTTACACCCTTAAAGCGTTTATTGAAATGTGTTCTACTCGCGTAAACTAAAAATCGCGTTTTAGTCTTTATTTCATTTCCTTAAGTCGTGCCAACCGTATTCAAGGATTAGAACAATTTATGTTTAACCGTTCTCCAGTTAGTAACCAAGTTATTAAAATACTCATAATGCCTAGGACTTATATGTTTGAATTTAAATATCTGAAAGTGTAAGTGCAAGTAGCGAAGTTAAAAATAATAGTAATTTTACGGAGGTGTACAGACGACAGACGCAAGGTTTGTGTAATTTCTAATTTAAATAGTAACTTTCATTTTATTTTTGCTCAAGGAGGATGAAGTATTATCATTACACAGTCTAATGTCTATATTACGTATATATATATTATGTGCGTGAATTATTTTTGTTTTGATTATTTGCTATGAGTAATGATTCTCGAGAGAAAGCAAGATCGCAAAAAAAAACAATGACGTTCTTAAATTGATGATTGTAATAATAATCGAATTTACTTATTGTACAAAAAGGAATTGGGTTTCTCTTCAAAATATGTTTTTATGTATGAGGCCGCTAGAGCCAGAGTAGCCTAACTGCAACTTTATCAGTTCAATTAAATTTATTATTTATTTTATAGTTTTAAAATGTTAACACAGTGGCACACATAATGCTTACACAAATATTAGTACAAATTCATTTTCGCCTAAGATTATTTTCCTCCTTATTGAAAATCATGATATACAATTAATGATATCCAGCGTGTCCTCTTTGGACATTGGTCGAATAAATGTTTTGTGACTGTTTTACTAATTCATTTTATTTAAAGGGAATTAGTAGAGACTTTTGTGTCTTGTCCGACTTTTATTCTGATATTTTTAAATACAAAGCATTAAGATTATTACAATTGTATTAATGTATTATACGGTTTTATTCTTGTAAAAAAATGTGCACTGCAGACTATGAAATTTGTGTTTTTGTCGATTTTGTCTGTATTTTTAAATATTTTTTACATTATTTCAGGTGTCTTCACACTGGGTAAGGTGTTGAACTTCTTCCCAGTGGGCGGGGAGAGGGAGTGTCAGTCCTCGGGTCACCCAGTAGCGAAGACAGGTATCTGCCTCAACCCTTACGACTGCAGACAAAGGGACGGTGCAGCTTCAGGGGACTGTGCCCACGGCCTCGGAGTCTGTTGTGTATGTGAGTATACTTTTATATATGCATTGCGTATATGAATATATAATTTTCTAATAGGAGGAAATTTATAGGTAATGTAAAATAGCTCCTTCGCAAAATGGTTTATTCTATGGGTGTAAAAAAATGCCTATCATATTTTGTTTAACAATATATGTTTTTTAGTTTATTTCAAGTTAAATTTTAAGCTTTTGGTTTAAAGCCACAGCTTAAGCTAGCTAACGAGCTTAATTTAGGTCTTCCTAGCGTTTCTTATTTCATCTCAAATTTTATTTCTCAACAAAATATGTTTGTTTTATCTTCACATGTTAGTTGTATGTAGTTTTTATTTAAATGTATGCAGGACTGCCTTACTACTTAATAAATAAATAAATTGCAAAGAAATAAACATAAGGAAAGAATCGCTTTTGTAAAGAAGTTGCAAGTTAAGCTCGTTATTTTAAAGTGATACGAATAAAAGTCACACATATCTCGCCTTTAAGTTTTTAAATAAACATCGTCTTCCAGTGTTCACCCGTTTTAACTTCGTCTAGCTTTAGGCGAAGTGTTTTCGATCACAATCGTCTATCTTTGTGGATAAGATACCGCAAACTTTTCCAATCTATAAACAATCCAACTTGTGGTCTATGCGTTGGCTACAAAAATAGCGTTAATACAACTAAGCGGAAGCGTCGTAATATGTTCAATGTTGCATCACTATGCCTTCGAATATTTAAACAATTTTTAAGATTGAGGAAAGACATAATTAGGCTGTACTAATTATGTCTTTCCTCAATGTAACTTTATTAACAGAAAATACTTTAGCTTTCAGTCACCTCAGTTCACCACTTAAAAGGTCACAAGGTGTTTTATATTTGACACTTTTACTTTACTTAGTTTTACAGCACACGTTTTATGTATGTTCTATTTTTATATAATTTGTTATTTTTTAACTTTAATAGTCTGTACTTAAGATTCACTTTTTAGACCTTGGACTTTTTTATCCCATCTGCACTACTCTCAAGCATATTATATAGCCTATTGTTTAAATATTAAGCTAAAATAAATGTTTTGAGTTTGAATTTATGAACATGAATTGAAGAGCATACGCTGGCTGTACCTTTACTTTGCAAACGAAAAAAAAACACACACAATCAAAAGATGCCGACGCCACTTCAATAATATTAAATTCAGTATTTGTGTATTACTTTCTTCAAATATTATGGGAAAGCTTTTGTAAATTTTATACTTTATTGCGTGACTGTTGCAAATGTAAACCTCACACTGAAGAAAATCGCTGTTCATGGCCCGATGAAAAGATCCGCTAACAGTGGGACATTTTGAATGAATGCGGAATAAATTCAAACCGAACGGATAACGAACGGCGCGGGCCCACTTTCTAGCCTTTGTTTTAGATATCCGAGCTTAATTTATGAATCGTCCGTCTACTTGTCTTGATTTATTGCCTCTTAGCGGTTTTAGAAAACGCTGAAAATGTACTGACATTTTCAAAAATGCTTTCTTCTAAAATGAAACAAATTTAGACCGGTTGAATCGCGAAGTATATTAGACAAAGTAATTAACAAACGTTTGCAGTGCAGCCGCGATGTCCTAATGGTTTTGAATGGGTAAATTTTGGTTTGTGTCAATCGCATAAACAACAAAACACCTTACTATGTACTATACCTGCGATTACATAATTTGAAAATAGATATATAAAAATGACCGCGGATAAGGCTTTAAAATTTCTTTGGAGCCATCGAAACAGTGGAATGAAATTTACGAATATCTGAAGCCAAAATAGGCCGACAGCGCATTTTTTTAGATGTTACATGGCTGAGGATTTCACCTACCATCAAGTGAATCTCATGTTTGTCTGTTCTCCTCTACCATAAAAAAATGTGTTAAATTATATATACATAAAATATTACATATTTTTTGTTATTTGTCAGATATCAGAAATACATTTAAGTAATACGTATATTTGAAGCAGCTGGTTTTCTCGTAATAATCTTACCCTTACTTGAGAAAAATTTAATTTAAATCCCTTTAATATTCAAATGGTTTTTTGTAAAGCCGCCCCTTAAAGTTAGCGAGGCGGTAAAACAAGATGAAAAGCTAGCTGGAATTCGTTCTCGAGCACTAATTTCGCTTAATTATTTACAATATAAATTATGAAGTGACTCAAAAAGAATTATATGTAATTTTCTAAAGCTTTTGTGCATCATATGCATACTACATACTAGTATAACTTGTTTTAACGGTTCGAGTTGCGTGCGCTATCAAAACGGTTCTAAAGAAAAATATTTACTGTCTATAGTTTACGCGAGTAGTTTACGTTTCGGGTGCTTTGCAGTAGACGTCAGTGTCTCCCCGTGACCACGGCTGCTGCAAAGCATTCGAAACGTCTGGGCCGAAGTTAAAAATCATTTTCAAATAAGTTATTAAAATATATATCAAAGAATTATTCTTCGAATAATCTAAATAACGATTTTTGAAAATCTATTATTATTAAATATAATTTTCTTTCTATAATTATTAAATATAATTTTCTTTCTATAATTATTAAATATAATTTTCTTTCTATAATTATTAAATATAATTTTCTTTCTATAATTATTAAATATAATTTTTGAAGACAAACTCATAAACATAATAATTTAATCAAATTTTGGTTGTAATATTTCATATGGCAAAATAACGTTTGCCAAGTCAACTAGTACTGTATATATGTACTAGAAACAGTTACTGAAACTTTTTCGGTACTTTCGTCAAATTGTGCCAATTATAACAATTAACTACTTTCGACTAACATTAAAGAACTTGTTTTATATCAATCAAAAAAGTATTTTCGTTACACAGGAGATTCCATGTATATAATATTTTAAATTTAGTGTATATGTATACAGCTCACGTGTGAGTTGTAATTGTGTTTAATAGTTTGAACGCAATTAATTCCAAATACTGTAACCATATTAATAACGTGTGGTTGTGGTTTCTGAGACAAGATTGCGGTTAAACTTAAAGATTTAACGAATATTGAGTTTTATATATAATTTAACTGACTTTCTTAGAAAATTTAGTATGAATCAGTAATAAATATATAGCTTTAGTTTTCCTTGAGAGAGGCTTATATTTTTCAAGAGAACTAGTATGGGTTTTTTTTAGAAGGTGTACGTGTATCTTTATCATCTTTGGACGGCGGTTCATGTCTGGGATCACCCATTTTATAACTAAATTCTCCAAAGACAAAGTTTTAGACTTCAGGGTCCAAAACTATAAATTTAATTCAGAAACATGTTACATCTAATAGAAATCGAACCCGACCAACTAACTCCTTGATTATTAATTACCGTCAAAAAATATGCATAATACAATTTTTTTTACAAAATCCCTTCCCTTTGAATTTTGAAAAAGGCTTTATTCTAATATATGTTTTTTTTACGAACAGTATATTATAGCAATATTCAAGATAATATCATTATATATGTATTGGCAGACACTTAAAAAAGTTTAATAATAATAAATTTAAAACCACTTTTCAAATAATAATCAACTAGAAGAGAACCTGAATTAACGACAACAGTTTATTATATTTACTAGCCTTCTCTGTCTCATTGTCCATCAATTAAGTTGTAAGAGAGAATTTTCTTTCTCTTTCTGGGTAAACATGCATTCGATACGAATCAAAGTCACGTTGCGTCCTAACTATAAATTTATTCCAATGAGCTTGAATTAATTGTACAAGACGCACACGGCAATAGTACGCGGCAGATTAAAGTGAATGATGAGCTCGTAACGGAATACGCAATCAAGGCAATATTAGCGCGAAAGGGAAATTCAATTATCCACCACTCCACAATATATCGCGGTTCGGTGACACTGTGCTTGCTGTACACCTATTGTACAGGGTTTTTTATTATTTTTAAATTAACCAGATTTAAAACTAATCAAGATAAAAAGGAGACCTTGGTATTGACAATGTGTGCAAGCAATTGAGCTACCGAGTCGCATATATGTATAGTGCCACCATGTGCAATTGCACCAAGTAACAATATAAAGCACGTAAAAATATTAAAGTTATTGTCTGTAGTTCCAAGAGTAGTACTCATTTACACGGTTTAAATAAGATAAAACTATTTTTTGCCAAATCTTTTTACGTAGGGTTACAGTTTTATAAACTACTCGCTGCTTCGTCAGCGTTTGTTCAGCGACTTCATTCACGAGAATCGTTATTTTGGGCATCCAAATTCGGTTTTGCAAACCCTTTATAAACTTATGCTGTTCTTGCAACTTAATCTTGAAAGACATATAGAGTATTGGACTTTAATAAAGATCATTTAAAGAAGACTCATTCTTTTATACATATTTTTTGGGGGTCTTGAACCGTTTGCTAAATATTTTTCCAAATTTTTTCACATTTCTCGTTTTATCTTCGGTTGTTTCAGTCGCAGGACGATGTTTTATAGCCTTCCTTGAGAAATGCTCTAACCAACACAAAAATAATTATCAATTCGAACCTGTAGTTCCTCAGATTAGCGCGTTCATACATACAAACAAAAAACTCTTCAGCTTATATAATGTATATAATGTATGATAGATTTTGATTTGAGATTGTTCTCGCTCGCTTGGAAAATGATATGGTCCTTTAATATTGTGCAATATTGCACATGATGGGCATTATATAAATTAAAAATCTATTTAGATCGACAAATTTTAAGACAAGGCGTTTTTTTCTAGTTTATTTTATTTAAAGTAAACAGAACTTTTAAAACCAGTACTAGTATACCTATGGCAACATTTTTAAAATCTTGCAATAATAATGGAAACACAAAACTTAGATAATCCGCCCCTATAGTTAAATCAGGTATTCGAATTTCGCTAAACGCTCTGTTAACAAACGCAACACTTGTATTTTAAGTTATGACAATGCGCACAACAATACCAGTAATAAAAGCTTTGTGGAAAATTCTTAGATGAGCAACGAAAATTGCTCGTTTCCTGCTATTTCTGTTAATTGAGGACAGCCAGGGTCATTATGTTAACATCAAGAAAGTTATAATTATCGTTATTTTTATCTGAGTTAGTCGCAGAACCTGTACGCAACTTACGTTGTATCTATTCCATGTCAAGTAGTGCTATTTTTACAAAAGAGAGATGGAAGACGATAACGGATTTGAATGTCTACAAGTTGCTTTATTTTTACATATAAATAAATAATTATAACATAATTTAAGACTATAATTATAAATTGTTCAAAATATCAAACATAATTACTTACATAATTGCAATATAATTACTGGTACTTAAAAGCAATAATTTAAATATTTTTATTGAATTATAATGAAAAAAATAAGATATTTTCAATGGACGTAGATTTGTATTGTTGAGAATGTCTTTGTTACATTATAATAATTAATGATAAGATTCTTTAGTTTTGTGACGTTCATAAGTGTACCTAATTACCTATATGAATAAATGATTTTGACTTGATAATTACGGTAAGGCACAATATTGCACTGTTAAATTATTTTTTTGAAGTATATAAAAATACTAAAAATGGGGGCGATATCGCGAACATAGCATTATGTCGTCGCACGCGCATCAAAAGACACGATTCACGTGGTAAGAGTGAGGTACCATTTGCAACGATGATATGGACCCACATTTTTTTGGACCAATTTCTTTGATCCGAGGCCTCTAACGTTAACGGGATGTTTTGGTGGTTTTAAAAATAACACACACTTACACTCGTGTTATACACATCTATGTGGACAAAATACATACTCTAATTATTATCTCTATAATTGCAGTTGAAGTAACCTGCGGCGGGACTATCCAAAACAATCTGACCTACTTCATGTCCCCGGGTTTCCCTGACCTTTGGTCTGGTGACGAAGACTGTACTATTCACATCGAGAAAACTCATGCGGGCATTATGCAGCTGAAAATCGACTTCATTCATTTTACTATTGTAAGTGGAGATTAAACAAAGAAATTTGACGTTAACTCTTGCCCTAACATAGAAAACAGGATCGTTTCAGGGCATCCTTAGTCCCTTTTTCTTTTAACGTCATTGAGATTTTCAACCAAATACTCCTCAAAATAATAAGCCCCCTTGAGAGTAATGTACAGAACTAAGGAGACGTTCTTGTCTGTTCTCAAGCATCAATGTACTAAATTTAATGTCGTTAATTAGCGGGTGATTGTGCAAATTTGAAATATGGTAAAATGTCCTTAGAAAAAGTAATACTGCTTTCAGGGTCAACCAAACAGAAGAACAGGCGAATGCGATGAAGATGCAATGATCCTTGGCGAGGGAGGATCTAACTTCACTCTCTGTGGACAAAATCATAAACAACACGGTTCGTTTCCTGGTTACATTTTAATTTTTTAGGATATTTATAATTACTTATTAAATAAATATAGTATTTAAATAAAACACTTCAACGATTTACAACCCGATATATATTAGTTAAACTCATTTAAAAATTGTTTTAAGTACGATCCAACGTTTTGGATGCTTTTTCAGTAATCCTGTGTTTGTGGTGACCACGGCTCCTTGAATATGATATGATATGAAAGACCCGTGAATCTTAACTAATATATATCAGGTTTTAACCCGTTTTAATGTTTTATTTAAATGTGTACTCGCTTGAACTCCGACACTATTTAAACAAAATAGTCCTCCAAGTAACTCTACTTCACTTCCCAGTTAGTACAAAATATTTTTAAAGCTTATTTCTTATGTGTCCGCAGTATACTACACGCTCCCTAACGCAATAGAGAGTAGGGAAGCAGGCGAATTACCAACCACCAGGTCCACCCCCCTCGTGTTCCGGATGAGGGGGGGGCGAAATGCCTCGGCTGTGGCTACTTCGAGTCGCTCAGATGCCACTCGCATACTCCTCACCACATAACTGCTTGCAGTACTTCTCAGAACCTAATGGTAACATTTTTATGAATATACTTTACTCCTTAACAAGTTATGAGAGAGAAACAATGTGAGTGATAAATAATATCCGAAAAAATATTTATCAATATTATATACTATTTAGTTTTGTATCCTTTCTCTTACTATATTTACTTACTTACTATATTATCACGCTATATTAAGTTAGTTAAGCAGTTTAGGTGATTAGACTTAAACAGCGCTGATCTTTGACAATTACGGACTTAACTTAATTTTTATAATATCATCTTTCCAAGATAGTTCCGCAAATGCCCAGTTAGCAGTTTATAGTGACATTCCAGATATGGTGCAAAAATTATCATTACGATGCATTAGTGATATAGTGGAAATATAGTATAAAAAACACAAAGTCGAAACAGGAAAGACAGAATAATGATTTTTTCTTCTCCTATACCACTTTTATGACCCATTTTGATTGCTGTAGCATCTGTCCTGGTTTGAGTGTTTTGTTTTTTTTTCAAAGGGACAATAAGAACGTTCAATTTTGCAACAAACGGTCGACATTTAGCGAGTCAAGAGTACAGAGCTTGTATACGAAGAAATACCGGATTCTGCACAATCAGATATACTCCTTGTGACAGTAGATCCTTTAGGATTGGACCCGGTGGAATTGGTGCTGAAGAAATTAGTGGTATGTCACTTTAGCGTTGCTTAATGAAACTTCTAGGATTTGAGTCCCAGGGATAAACATTATCGATCTCTTTTCCACCAGCAATTACAGATCCCCTATCTGTAAATTTCTATTTATAATATTATGTCTTATAATTTTCAGTAACATTGCATTTTCTATATGATTTGTTTGATATTAGACAATAATAATAAATGTAATTTAGCCGAACCAGTACAGAACGACGAGATGATGCCAGTGAATGACCAAATACAAGAAGAAGAAGGCTCTGGAGCTGAACCACAGATTATAGATCCAACACCTGCACCTAGTATTATGAACAGGGTAAAAGTTATTTAATAATAGATATTGTTTTTATTTAATATAAAAAAAAAACATTTTTGAAACGTTTTTACATCGACAAAATTAAATTACCTCTCTTATACTCACGTTTTGATTATGCTTACTAAAATGATACAGCTAAAATTCTTAATAAACTATTTGTTTAGTTTATCAATAAACAATCAATAACCAGTCCAATACATTTTAATATGAATTTTGACATCAATAGAAATGCTTTATACAATAATGACCTTTTCTATATAATATATTAATATGGTGAGAGTAAATAATAAAAATTACCTACTAAACGTATTTTTAGAAATTTTACGAAATAATAGAGTTGCAATTCCGTATTAAAACTCTGGTCTATATACGCTCCCTTGGTGAACCCCAGTAGTTAGACTAACAATTAACCTACCTTAGATATGGAGTTTTATCTGGCCATCTTGGATCTGGGGGCAGAGTCGCGCCTGGTCCTGGGGTCGCTGGTCTCCGTACATCCAGAACTATGGGGAAGACGTGTTTCCTTACTATGGCTACGGCAATTATGGCAAAGGCCTTAGTGGATACGGAAGACAGAAGTGCACGGATCGAGTCACTATATCCTGTGAGAACGAATATTTTGTTACGGTGAGTATAGCCTTCTAAGTCCTGCTAATCTTGTTTTAAGGACATTTTTTGATGATAGGCGGGGTTTATTTGGAAGGTGAATTATTCCAGCCGTATAATATGTCAGCTAGCTCGACTCTGACTATTTTGGCTTTAAGCAAAACCGAAACGCGATTAGATTTCACGGCTTTTTCATCTGTGTACTAGATTTCCAGACGAATGGACCCGGTGGGGGTCGAACACTACGACCCGTTGATTATTGGTCAACCATTGCTACCATTGTCCTAACGAGGCCGTCAAACGTAACATTTAAATTTACTTTTAGTTAGTGCCTTAAATGTGTGTATTCTGAAATCAAAATTCAGGCAGCAAAAATGGTGCTTTTTGTTAAAATATACGATAACTATCCCACAAAAGAAAAATTAAATATTTTTGTTTAAAGGGTTCAGTGTATACACCTGGAGTCTGCGACCCCCACCACTGCGGGAACAGTTTTTGTCCAGGAGGCTCCCAGGACTGCCACGTGGAGTCATCAATAAGTCCCTTCGCGATCTCCATGCATTTTGGACCTCCCACAGTCAAGGAAAACCCCGAGGATAACATCGGAATGTGCCTTAGATATAATCAAATACCTTGCAATTCTTGAATTTCGAAATTGGTACATTGTATAAAACAAAATTGTTGATGTGATAGTGTTGGTCCCGATGTTTGAAATGTTGTTATAAATAGAATTGATTCAATTTTGTATGACAACAAATTACGCAAATCATATGAAAAACTTTAAAATAAGATTTTAAATTACGATGCACGACAGGTGCGAATAGGGCGAAAATATTCGACAATGACGTGTAGGACTCGATAGCTCAATTGGTTAGAGAAACAGCACACAACGCTAGGATGCCGCTTCAAGTCTTCATTATTTTTGCAATTTTTATAAAATCTTAAAATTTTATTCATTTTATCAAATAAAGCACTACGTTCAAAGACGCCACTCTCTTTACCTGTCTCTCTGATGAACTTGAATTTCATGTATCATTTGAAAGGATTTTCACTCCCCACATATTTGCTTTGTGACATATGACAGGAGTTTTAATTAAGCGCGCAATCTATAATTTAAAAATAACAAACTCCCGTATTCAGCTAAGAAAATAATATATTTGTTATATTATTTGTCTCTTTCATACAATGTTTATTAGAGTGAGGAAATAGAAGCGAAAATGACTTGTACATAAAAAATATTGTAAGTATTTATTGTAGACTAACATTACTACAGTCTGATAGTAAATTGACTGATTTTAGATATTAAATTTTTGACAATGTAAATATTTTAATTAGAAAAGTTATTTTAAAAGATCGACAAATTGTTTTATTACATTCACATATATAATATAGATACCTTTAAATAAATTCAATTAGTGCACGAAATACAGAAATGGGTTTTTATAATTCCTTAAACATGGGACATCGTTTTCATATTTCAGCTGTGTTATTTTTAAATATAAAGAAGTACAGACATGTGAGTAGCACACATTTAAATAAAACTCTTTAACTTATTTGATTTTTTTTAAACTACGGCCCGACGTTTCTGCAAGGACCCGACCAGTTTTGCCAAATACCAACTTTGACGAAACAAATGGCGCTAGCGTTTTTCAAAATCAAGTTTAACTAATATATATCGCGTTTTAAACCGTTAAAGTGTCTTATTTAAAAGTACAGACATGTAATAAAAAATAACGAACTATCTGTGCTTCATACTTGTTTATCTTATATACACAAATAAACAGACCATTAGGGAACAATGTAATTTCTTTTGTTGCCTCTTAAAACCCTTCTCTAAAGAGATAAGAGTGAAATTATAACAAAAGAACGCTCATCCCATTTACATACTATTACGCCAAATTGCTGGTCGTTGTAATGTTATTTACTTAATTTACTTTTGTAAATATATTTGGAATCTTAGAGAAGAGAATTTTAGCAGTTATCTTGTATTTGAAGCGAAGAAAGTGATGAAAGGCCGTCTCTTATCCACATTAACTAAGAACATAGTTAATGTGGATAAGATACTATCTTTCATGGTCATTAAAATAGTCATTTTGTATTTCTATACAAATATCCAAAGCCAAAATAGGCCGGGGTATATCACCTTCCATCAAGCGAAGCCTATGCCAGTCTGCCTTCGTATAATCATTAAAATAACAAACTTTTTTTCAGAATTTTTCGGTGTTATCTAAATAAGAGGCTCGTTAGTGCATTAGTAGTAACGCATTGCCAATAACAAAAGGAACGCCGTTTGGATTCCCTAGGGGTAAAAAAAGTTCGAATTTTTTTTTTTTTTTTTTTTTTTTTTTTTTTTTTTTTTTTTAAAAAAGGGGGGAATTTATTTTTTTTTTTAAAATTTTTTTTCCCCCCTTTTTTTCCCCCCTTTTTTTTTTTTTTTAATGTCAGTCCCAGTCCGTGAATTTCTGAATGATCAAAGAAAAAAAAGAAATTAATGCCTTAAGTAACTTACTTGTGTTGCGTGTAGGTACAAAAGAGGTGACTCCGTTGTACCTACACTGTCTTACAAAAAAACTTTTCTTGTCGCCGGTAATACTATTCCAGTCCCACAAATACTGTTACGAGTACATCATAATAAACCTTTTGTTGCTCTATTACTTATTAAACATTAAACTTAATCTTTTGACGTATATTTTATCGTTCGCCGTGTTTTGTGCAAGGCGCATAATTTCAAGCTTTATTTAAACTCAAATGTTAAAAGCCACTCAGTAGCTTTGAATAGACCAAATAAAACTAAATAAATTACTTAATGTAGGTACGCGGAGCGAAAAAACGTTTGAAATAAGTTTCACATTGAATGTATGTGCTTATTTATATTTAAACACTCAATGTTAGTGCTTATACGAAAATGAGAAGCAGGAACAAAATAGGCGCGTCTATTTCCGCTTTTTAGAGGATTTTATAGGTAGGAAGGAAGTATGCTTGAATTTCACGCTGCCGCCGTGGAGAAATAGTCAAAATTGCTTGGCTAAGCGTGAGAGGTCAGCGGTTCTAAAAATAATATAATAGTGACACCAAAATCTGATCGACTACTTGTTTGTGAGTTGCAATTCATTCGATTAAGAATAAAAACGAATAATATAAGTCAATTATTTATAAGATTGTTTCATTTAATTAATCCAAGCAATTACTAATATATTATTGTTTTTTATGGTAGAGGATGACAGGGACATGGAGTTCACTTGATGGAAAGTGAAAAAAAGAAACCAGCTTTACAACAGCTAAACTAGATGCTCTGTCGACCTGTTTTGGACGTTTGGACCTGGATATTCGGAAATCCAATGAAACCGAAACGCGATCCAACTTGACGGCTTATCATCTGTGAACGGTGGTTTGTGACCCACCCATTGCCATTTACCATCCACTTTAGAAATCCAATCTTTGAAATTTTCAAATATTTCTTACATGTTATTGCACATGAAGGCACTTTACAAGGTTATTCCTACTTCATGCGAAACCTGGCAGTAGTTTGTTCAGAATCAGTAGCAGAATCCATTTCAATAGTTTTTATACCACGTTATATTTTGTCAAAATTGTATGAAGTTTTTGAAATCTTGGACACATCTATCTATCTTGGAAATACCTACATAAGTAGAGATAGAAAATTTGTCGTCTAAATTTGATGACCTTGATCAAGCCTCTCGTAGCTGTAACGTTGAAATCCAAAATATACCGGAGAAGAAGGGTGAAAACCTAGTGCACATTTCCTTGGCCATTGGCAAATTGCTGCGGGTCGATCTAAAAGACGGCGATATAAAGCATGTCCATCGTATTGCTCCAGGATTGTCTACGAACCGTCCTAAGAACATAATTTTGCAACTGGCTACTCGACGGCAACGGGACGAATTGATAGCTGCGGCGCGCGTACGTCGCTCATTGACAACTGATCAATTAACTGGTGTTCCTGCGCTTCCTTCTGCCCCCGACGGTCTTCATCGCTTCTTTCTGACTGAACATCTAACTCTAAAAAATAAAATCATCTTCAGCAAAGCCCGTCAACTTGGAAAGGAGAAGGACTATAAATTTGCATGGGTTAAAAACAGCTGCATTTTTCTTAGAAAATCCGACGAGTCTAAGGTTATACAAATTCGTTCTGAAAATGACTTAACTAAAATAATATGACTAGTTAATATATACCTATCATCCTCATTTTATATAGTAATTTGTTTTTGTTTTTCTGTTCGTTTATATTCGATGACAGCAGTTTGGGGCACGATGATATCTGTTAATATTCAAACTTTATATTATTTTACATTTGAGTATGGTTAATGGCTCATCACGATTTATCAATTTTTTATCAAAACTGTGGAGGTATTAAAAGCAAGCTCGACAAGTTGCGGCTTAATATTATGTTGAGCAGTTACGATGTTATTGTGTTAGTCGAGACCTGGTTAATTGGCTCTTATTTTGACGCAGAGGTTTGTACAAGTGATTATACCGTTTTTAGACGTGACAGGAACCTTTCATTAACGGGTAAGAAGAGTGGCGGTGGAATTTTAGTGCTGGTTAAAAATTCGATTAAAGCTATGCGTTTGCCTGAACTTGAGGCACTGGACTTAGAAGAAATATTTATACATTTGCCTTCTTTTGCTGGTCTTTTGCTGAATGCATGCTATTTCTCGCCTTCTACATCCTCTGCAGCATACAGTACATATTTTCATAAGCTGTATGATATTTATTCTAGTGCACGCTTTGACAATTACTTAATTACCGGAGATTTTAACCTGCCTTATCTGACCTGGACATGCAGCCCTGACGCTTTATTAGATTCTGCTGTTACGGAACAGTCCAAACTTCTTTTACACACATTGTCTTTTATGGACTTACAACAGACTAACAATATTGTTAATGAAAACGGAAGACTTTTGGACTTAGTTCTGACCACTCTACAGTGTTCAATTGAGCGCTCCAAAGACCCCTTACTTAACCTCGTCCCACATCACCCTGCCTTGGAAATATATAGCCACATTGATGTACATAGTAGAATGCCTAGTGTTTCTTTAACAAAAAGGGATTTTTTTAATACGGACTATTGTGCAATAAATACTATCATTTGTCAGGTTGATTGGATCTCTCTTTTGACACCTCTTTCATGTGACGAAGCTGTTACTTTGTTTTACACGCTATTAAATAACATAATAACTTCTTATATACCACTAAAAATACAAAAAACACGCAAATACCCCATTTGGTTCAGTAGAGGCTTGATTAGATGTCTCAGACGAAAACAAAAGTTATGGAGTCGTTGGAAAACGTATAATAATCCTCGAGATTATCAAGAATTTTCATTGTTGAGAGCTCGCGTTAAATCTCTTATTAAAATATGTTACAACCGGTATATAGAAAGTATTGAGTATTCTTTAAAAAGCAACATTAAATATTTTTGGAAATATGTGTCAACCCTTAAAAAAAATAACTCAGGTTACCCACAAGTTATGAAATATGGAAACATTTTATCTAGCGATCCTAAAACTATTGTAGAAATGTTTTCTCAATATTTTCAGTCTACTTTTGAACCCTCTTTGAATGTCAGTAATTCTTTTACACCGGTTGAAAATGCTGTAAATGAGTCCCACGTTTTAATTAGCC